CCAGGCGCCCCCAGAGCATTCTGTTCTTAACAAGGCCTGCCCTCAAGGGAAACTATTCTACCACAGCTAACCTATTGGGAGTTTATCAGATCTTAACTAACCTGGGGAAAGGGCAATAGTCAACTCCAGCCTGCCCCTAGCCTTCTACATGGAGGAAGCATAATACTCTTTTCTTAATCACCTCTAGCCACCTAGTCCCACCTCTGTGGGAGAGAAACTGAGAAGCATTTGTGAAGGTGACAGCCCAGGGCACAGACCTATCATAGGAATATTGGTGTCCCCTCTCCCCTCTAGAACTTAACACCACATCACTAAAGCCCTATTTCCTGGAGTCCCTTTCACCCAGCATATCATAACCAGTGTTGAAGAAAATCTTACGAGGCATAATAAAAAGCTAAAAAACATAGCTTGAAGAGAGACAAAGCAAGACTCAGATATGGCAGGGATGTTGGAATTATTATACCAGGAATTTAAAACAACCATAGCAGTATGTTAAAAGCTCTAATGGAAAAAGTAGACAACATGGAAGAACAAATGAATAATGTAAACAGAGAGATGAAAATTGTCTTAAAAAATCTTAAAGAATTACTGGAGATCAAAAACACTGCAACAGAAACGAAGAATGGGTCTGATGGACCCATCAGTAAACTAGACACCGCTGACAGAAGAATCTTTGAGTCTGAGGATAAGTAGGCAGAAACTTCCAAAGGAAAAGCAAAGATTAAAAAAAAACCAAAAACCTGAAAAAAATCAGAACAGAGTATCCAAGAAATGGTGGGCAAGAACCAAGAGTGTACACACACAGGCAATGGGAATACCAGAATGAGAAGAAAGAGAGACAGGAATAAAAGAATTATTCGAAGTGATAATGACTGAGAATTTCCTCAGATTAATGTTAGACATGAAAACACAGCTCCGGGAATCTCACAGAACACCAAGCAGGATAAATAACAAAAACAAACAAATAAACAAACAAACACAAAAACAAAAACTATACCTAGACATAGCATATTCAGACTGTAGAAAATTAATGATTTTTTAAAAACTCTTGAAAGAAGACAGGAGGGGGGGAAATAGCTTTAGAGAAACAAAGATTAGAATTCTACCCAACTTCTCATAAACCATGCAAGCAAGAAGAGAGTGGAATGAGATATCTAAGTGCTGAGAGAGAAAAAAAAAATGCCAATCTAGAATTCTATACTCTGTGAAAATAATCTTCAAAAGTGAAAGAGAAATAAAGACTTTCCCAGACAACAAAAATTGAGGCAATATGTTGCCAGTAGACCTGCCTTGCAAGAACTATTAAAAGAAGCCCTCCAGAGAGAAGGAAGGGCTGATCTCCATAACGTAAGTAAGAACATCTAACGTAAGTAAGAACATCTTACGTAAGTAAGAACATAGGCAGAGAAGGAGTAAGTGATGGTGAAAATGACAACTTTAGTTTTCCTACTCTTATTTAGTAGGGAACAGTTTGTTCAAAATAATAATAGCAACAATGTATTTGACTATGTATGCTTATATACATGTTTATGTACACACATATATGTGAAATGAAGGACAGCAATGATACAAGGAACGAGAGGGAAGAATTCTTAATATTTTGTTATAAGATACACTAACTGTGAAGAGGGCTAGTGCTATTTGAAATTAGACTTGGATTCATTGTAAATAGATATTGCAAACTCTAGAACAACCACTAAAACAAAGTGAAAAAATAGGAGAGAAAAATGGAATCATATAAAATGCTCAATGAAAGCTACGGAAAGCAGAAGAACGTGTAGAAGACAAAAATAAGAACAGAACAAGGGCAAGTAATAGAAAAGAGTAATAAATATGGTATATATCAAGACAGCTATATTAACAACCACTTTAAATGGCAACAATCTAAATATACAATTAAAAGACAGTGATTGTCAGAACCGATCAAAAAATAAGACCCAACTGACTATATGTTATTTAAAAGAAATCTACTTCCAAAACAGAAAGCACTGAGCCCAGATGGGTTCTCTGGTGAAATCTACCAAACATTTAAGGAATAAACCATACTAATTCTCTATAATCTCCTTCAAAATATAGATGCAGAGGGAATACTTCCTAACTCATTCTATGAAGCCAGCATTACCCTAATAACAAAACCAGACAAGGCCATTACAAGAAAATAGCAAACCAATATCTCTTATGAATATAGAGAAATCAACAAAATATTAGCAAATTAAATCCAACAATGTACAAAAAGAATTATATACCATGACCTATCAAGTAGGATCTAACGTATGCAAGGCTGGCTCAACATGTGAAAATCAATTAATGTAATCCCCTTGACAAAATCCAACTCATTCATGATAAAAACTCTCCACAAACTAAGAACAGAAAGAAAACTTCTTCAGCTTGATAAAGAACATCTACAAAAAACCTAGAGCTAACTTCATACTTAATGGTGAGAAACTAGAAGCTTTCCTGCTGAGATCAGAAATATGGCACCACTTTCCAACACCATACTAGAAGTCCCAGTTAATGCAATAACAATTAGACAAGGAAACAAAAAAGTATAATACAGATTAAGAAGGAAGATGTTTGCAAATGATTTGACTGTCTATATAGAAAACCTGAAAGAATAAAAAACTCCTAAAGGTAATAAGTAATTGCAACAAGGTTGCAGGATACAGGGATATTATACAAAAGTCAATGGTTTTCTTATATATGAACCACGAACAAAGGGAATTTGAAATTAAAAACACAATACCATTTACTTTAGCGCACCCCCCAAATGTAAATACTTTGGTATATACCTAACAAAATAGGCACAAAACTTATATGAGCAAAACCCTAAAACCGATGATAAAAATATAAAGAACTTTAAATAAATGGAGAGATATTCCATGTTCACGGGTAGGAAGCCTCAATATTGTCAAGATGTCATTCTTACCACCTTGATCATAAATTTGTCACAATCTACATCCCAGAAAGTTATTCTGTGGGTGTCAACAGATTTGAAAGTATATGAGAGGCAACAAACAAACAAACAAACTGAATAACCAACACAGCATTAAAGAGAAAGAACAAGGTAGGAGGCCTGATGTTAACTGAATTCAAGAATTACCATAAAGTAATCAAGACAAAGTGGTATTGGAAAAAGAACAGGGTAATACAGAAATGGAACAGAATAGAGAGTCCAGAAATTGACCCACATAAATAGAGTCACTGATCTTTGGCAAAGGAACAAAGGCAATACAATGAGGCAAAGAGAGTCTTTCCAACAAATGGTGCTGGAACAAGTACACAACCACAGGCAAGCAATAAATCATTCAATCAGTCAATCAATCAATCAATCAAGACACAAAACGTATACCCTTCTCAAAAAATTAACTCAAAATGGATCACAGACCTAAATATAAAACCAAATTATTATAAAGCATATGAAACATAATATAGGAAAAAAAACCTAGGTGATCTCTGGTATGGTGATGGCTTTTTAGATAAAACATCACAGTCGTGATCCATGAAAGAACTGATAAAGCTAACCTTCATTAAAATGAAAATATCTGTTTTGGGAAAGGCACTGTCAAGTAAATGAGAAGACAAACCAAAGACTGAGAAAAAATATTGGCAAATGACATATCTAATGGAGGACTGTTATCCAAAATATACAAAGAGTGCTTAAAATTCAATAAGAAAATGAGCAATCTATTTAAAAAAAATGGTTGAAAGACCTGAACAGATACCTCCCCAAAGAAGATAAACAGAGCGTAAATGAATATATTAAAGAATTCAGTATCATATATCACTAGGGAAATGCAAATTTAAACAGTGAGATTCTACTTCCCACCTGGTATAATAGCCCAAATTGAAAATACTGACAACACCAAATGCTTCCAAAGATGTGGAGCAACAGGAACTCTCCTTCACTGCCGGTGGGAATGCAAAATGGTACAGCCACTTTGGAAGACAGTCTGGTAGTTCTTCATGACACTGCACATAGTCTTGCTATATGACCCAGCAGTCTTACTCCTCAGTATTTAGCCCACTGAACTGAAAACGTACATCTACACCAACACCTGCTGCACACAGCTCTTTACAGCAGTTCTATCCACAACTCCCAGAGCTTAGAAGCAACTGGGAAGTACTTCAGTAGGTGAATGGATCACTTTGGTCCAGACAACAGAATACTAGTCAGTGGTAAGAACAAATACACCAACGAGCCACGAAAAGACATGGAGGAAGCTTTGTTACATATTACTACGTGAGACAAGCCGATCTGAAAAGGCAACATACTGTATGATTCTAAACATATGACATTCTGGAAAAGGCAAAACTATGGAGATGGGAAAAGATCTATGGTTATCAGGGACTGTGGGGAGGGAGGGACTTAAGAGTCGGAACACGGAGGATGTTTAGGGCAGTGAAGCCATTCTATAGGTCACTGTAATGATGGATTCACATCCCCATACATTTGTTAAAACCCATCGAGTGTACACCACCAAGAGTGAATCCTAATGCGAACTATGGACTCCGGGTGACTGTGACGTGTCAATGCTGGTACCCTGATTGTAGCAATGGACCATCTGCTGGGATATGCTGACAGTGGGGCAGGTGCACCACATGTATAGGGCCAGGAGATATATGGGAATCTCTGTCTTTTATGCACAAGTTTGCTATGAACCTAAAACTGCTCTAAAAACTAGTCTTCTAAAAAAATTTGCGAACTGATATATTATCCTGTGTTTTCTATCTTATTCTATTTTTTTTAAATTTCTTTCAACAAATTCTGGTCATCTCCTAGGAAACTTATTTCACCAGCCACTAATGGGCTGGAAGGAAGCCCCCCCCCCCAAATTACTATAGGGCAGTGTCTCCAGCGGCCCTATGAAATCCATTCTCTATCCCGCAGGCTCCAGTGGCCACAGTGGGCTCATTCGGTTTCTGAGCAAGAGGACTTCCCAGCCACCAGCCACCAGCCACCAGCCCAGGGGGGGACAGGTCCCTGAGGACAGCTGCAGTACCTGGAGGGAGGGTCTCCATGCTCTGTGCTTTCTCATCCCCGTTGCTGTGATGAAGGTCTTTCTTTTTAATTGGGTCAATTTCATTCCAGTCCTCCTAAGGGGAACAAAGACACCATATGAGTTGATCAGTTTCTCAAGTGTATCTGCATTCACCAGTTCAATCAACAGTAAGTGGGAGGATGTCTGCGGGCCCTGGGGATGCAAATGATGAGGGAGAGAGAATTCCCATCTCCAGGACCTGCATCCCAGGACTTCTCAGACACTGGCGACATGAGGGGACAACAGTATGGGAGTGGCCTTTTCTAAGGAAGGATTTCCACTTCCCTCTTCATTTTAATATTTGCACTGCCTAAGTGTGGGAAGGAAATACTCCGGAAATTCCCAGGGCTCTGTGGATCTGCGAAGGTAGGGAAGGGAGATGGGGAGAGTAGATTAAATAAAATAATTCAATAGTGGTTAAATTAAAGCCATTAAAATCAGGGTAGCTCTCCAGACATCTTAAGATGGTTTAAGGACACCCTAAGATGCAAATTCTCCCTCCAGGCCCCTTGGAGCCCTCCTCTGAGGTTGCTAAATGATTTAATTCCACTGAGTAACAATGGAGGGAGGAGGAAGGACCAGCCAAGCTTTTCCTAGGGCTCACTCTAATAAGACTGCCAATAGAACAGAGCTGTAAATTAAGGGTTTAATGTGAAACCAGAATAAGATATAAGCTCTGGCAGAATTTATTCAGCTCATCTGCACAAACAATTTACTCTAATCCATCAACATTAAATCAAACTAAAAAACATCGCCATGACCACAGAGCTAAATATATTTCGCAACCACTTGGAATCTGATTTCGGCAAATCGAGAAAGAAAGGCTTCTGTATATAACCCAGATCAGAAACGTCCCATGGCTAGTCATTTTCCTACCCAGACTTCTGCAAGCCCAGCATTGTTGACTGGGCGTGCCCCCCCCAGCAGAGGCTGCCGGCATGATCCGCAGCGTTAAGCCCTCCGCTGGGGGAGACCCGACCAGTTCCGAACAGGTCTGTCCAGCCAGCATTCCTCTGGGCCAGCACTGGCTGCGTGTTGTGCAAAAGCTGACCACTGGAGACATTTTGGCTCTTCAAAATGTAAAGTGAGATCTTCAAGGAGGGCAATCCCTGGGGGCTGGGCCAAATCTGACATTTTCCCCAAATGCAACTTGCTCTGCCAATCATCTGCAGTTTTACTCAAATGGTACAGTAATCAAAGAGAAACCATGCCTAAGCTTCCTCCCTCTTGAAGCCAGCTTTCCCTTCAGCGGCTTCTTTGGGGATACAGCTGGCTCGATCACCATGGAAATGATGGGTGGGGTACCCAGGAGGATGACCCCACTGCAGAAAGAGGGGGCTGGTGAGGAACCCTCATGCCTTGGCAGTCCTAGCCCCACCCAGCCATCACAAGGCCTTTGTCCTTCAGGTGCCCCAAGTGCTGGGACTTTTGAAGATTTTACCCTGCATTTTAACAAAGGTATTAAAATGCATCTGTGTCCCAATTCAAGTATTCTTTTGCTTCAAAATTTTTTTTTCAAAGGTATTCATAAATTGGCTTTTGAGATTATCTGGTTAAAAATAAACTTTCGGTTTACTATCGGCAGTGATCTCGCAGCAAGCCTGGCAAAGGCATAGGAGGGAGAGAATCTAACCTACAACCTTGACAATATATGGAAACATGTGGATACAAATTCAGTAAGTAATGAAGTAACCAGAGTCACGCTGTGCAGACTTTTAATTAAGCATTATTAATTCTTCCTTTGCATCTTGCTTATAGCATTCTGTGGCTAATAACTTTTCTCCCCCACGGGCATTACACTGGCTAATGGATCAAACCATTTAACCTTGTACTTAAACAAAATCGAAAGTGAAAGTTGCTTATGGGGCCAGTGCCTTACTTTCCACGTGTGAGAACGAAGGCATCGGCTATATGGTCGGCAGAATCGACACTGGGGCAGGTCAGCCATCCGCGCTTTCGTGGAAAGTAAATGCTTCCTTCTTCCCACAGGCGGGACCGACTAGTCCACATGCAACACTCCTTAACCTCCCCTCCCGCTGCCAATCCAGCACCCCCAACACAAAACCAAAGTGGGAGCCCGGAACGTGCTATGTGGCCACGTCCGAGCAGGTGAAATGATGCTAAGCCCCACTGACAGATCCCTACTGCGCATCATGTGCTCTTGTCCCTGCCACAGCCACCTGGCTGCTTACAAGTCCTGTTTCACGAGGGGCATGTGGAGGTCGGCGAACCTACGCCGACCGCCCACGTCGGTCACACAGAGAGCGAGAAGCTAAAGGTGGCTTCTTCCCAGTCAGGACTCCGTTTAAACCAAGTTTAAAGCCTGAGTCTCACAATATCACACGACTCCAAGGATACGTTTCTAGGAGGTCTTTCTCAAAGGACTCTTTTACCCTGGACTCCCGAGTCAAGAACTGAGAATGACCATGGTTTAAGTACCAACTCCTAGAGGAGAGTGAGGAGCTGGAGGGAGAAAAGGACCCATCAAGGCTGCTAGCAGAGCGATTGGGAGGCGCCGAGCCCCATTCTAGACACTGCACACACCCTGATCTTCTGCACGGTGCTCTGGATAGCCCCATTTTACAGATGAGGAGGTTGAGGCACTGAGAGCTTACGTAGCACAAAGGACACAACAAGGCTAGACTCGAACCCAGGGGATTTAGTATTGGTTCCGTGGTCTCTATCATTCTACTCTACTACCTTTAGATAAAACATCTTCCCCCTCTACCAAGCAGATAGACACAAGTAAAGCAAAACAATGTATTAACCATGCATCTCAGCATATGTCTGATCATTGTAAATGCCTGATCGTTCAGGATCACTGACTGGATTCACTGCCTGAGACAGCGGCTGTCTGTGTAGGACCTGCCACCTGTCAACAGCTCACCCTTCCAGACACTTGTCATGTTCCACTCTTTTCCCGTAGCCCTGACCCATGGCCTTTGCTGGATGGAAGAAAGTCTCCAGAGACACGGTGGGGACCAGGCGGCTTCACCTTGGCCAATCGTGCCTGATGGGGTGCAGACAAGCATCCAATGATGATGGCACAGGGTCACACACCCTGAAGACTGCGAGTCAGGGCATGCTGGCGGGAGTGTCGAGAAGGCTCTGAGAATCCTGTGTGCCAGAAGCGACACCTTGGCAGAGACCCGAGGGGGTCAAGAATTGACCTGGTGAGATGAAATGATGGGGGTGGGGAGATGAAGGTCGTGACAGAGGAAACAACATGGAAGATAGAAAACAGACACGGACGAGGCAAGATACCGAGACTTGAGACTTGGGTTCCAGAAACATCGCTTCGGCCGTAGTGTAGGGAGCACGTGGAGGGGATAGAAGAGAGGCCAGCGGAGCAATGCAGCAAGGGATCGTGGTGAGCTGCTTGGATCTGGATCCCAGAGATGAGGAGAGGAGGTCGGCATAGCCATGGGGTGGGGATTGGAAGGGGAGAGCGAGAAGGAAGGAAGGAATCAGAGCTGCAGGTTTCCTACCTGCATGTTTGGACAGGAGGGGCACTCCCGCTAAGGACCACAAACCAGTGGTGTGGGCGGGGTATGGAGTGGTGCCGGGAAAGAGGGACGAGTCTGTTTGGGAAATTTGGGGGTTCCTGCAAGATACCAAGAGGAGGTAGCTGGCAAACACGGGAAGACACATGGTTGCAGCTTTGGAAAAGCAGGAGACCATGGAAGCTGCTGGTGAGTGTGCGAGAACATCCGGGGAGGGGGTGAGCCGAGTGAGAATGGGGTCCTGGACCGGGGGGCGGGGGATGCCAACACCTTAGGGGCAGGCAGGACACGCGGCGTGTTGGGGAAGAGCCGGGACCTGGGAGCTGAAGCTTCGGGTCTAGCCACGGGGGTCTGAGGAAGCCATCAGCCTCTGTCCACTGGGCCACCGGGCTGAAGGTCGCACAGTTCCTGCTTGCCCTAAGCATTCCTGGGGACCAGATGGAGCCAGCACTTTCTTATACATTCTACCTATCACATATATGTTTGGTGTCCGAAAGCACCTGAGGTCCCTGGAGGGCAGGAGGGCACCGAGGGTGGTGCTGCTCCTGTGGTTTCCTAACAACAGAGCTGGGAAAAAAGTCCCCCCGCTGCTCGCTCAGACGGATCGGCCCGGCCTCGCCCACTCTGCAGAGGAAGCATTTCCTTACAGCAACTCCCCACCACACAGCTACATACACTGGAGGACTTATTTACACGCGCGGAGGCTCGCTTCACAAGGGAACGCGTGGGACGAAAACTCGGAGAAGCCTCTCATGCCCAGGACCTGCCGACAGCCAGGACACGCCACCAACTGATCCATCTGTCTGCTCCCCCGTAAGAGCAAATGACGCGGTGGCAGACAGGTCCTCTTCCCAGTGGTGCGGGTAAACTGCTGAGATGAGAGAAGCAATGATGTGAGGGACACCGGGTCAGGAGTTGCGGGGAATCCAGTGCCCGCGATCTGGTCACCCTGCTCTGACTGCCCAGGCTGCGGCCCATCTCCGCACCGTCCCCTCCCACCCCCGCGGGGGGCTGTGACACTGCATGCACAGTGACTTACAGACAGCCCGTGCTGCTGACCAGCGTGGGCAAGGGTGGGCTCGGTGGTTCTGGCCCCACACTGGGCTCTGGCCGGGATGTCTGAGCAGAGGTCGGCCAACCCCATCAGCCACCACAGAGCGGAGGAAGCCGCTGCCCCTGCCCGACTTTGCCATTTCGAGCACACCGGGGGGGATGACCTGGAGGGCCTCACCTGAGGCATGAGACCGTCTGGGCCCTCTTAGTGGGCGTGTGAGCCAGAGCTAGCACAAACCCAATTTCCTGTCCTCCTACTTACTGACCGACCTGCGCTCGCAGCCTCCTACTACTCATACTTGAACTCGGTGAGTTCTCGTAGAGCCTGCAGAAGCTCGAGATGGGCACTTTGACCGCACTGTTCCTACAAACGTGTGTGATGGAGCGGTCTATTATCACCTGGAGCACAGATGAAATTAAATCAGGCCGGGAGACGGATCAGATGGAAGGGAAGGGCTGAGCGACGTCTGTTGACCTACCGCAATTAGAGAGCACGACG